CTCTAGATGCCTGTTTCAGTCTATAAATGGACCTTTTAAGCTTACACAACATGTGTTCCTTGCCACTTTCCACGAAACCGTCTGGTTGCATCATATAGATGCACTCATCAAGACTTCCATTAAGGAAAGTTGTCTTGACATTCATTTGCCAAATCTCATAATCATAATGAGTAGCAATGGATAAGAGAATCCTAATAGACTTAAGCATGGCTACCGGCGAGAAGGTTTTCTCATAATCGATCCCTTCTTTCTGAGTAAACCCTTTCGCTACAAGCCTTGTTAAAAGTTTGCACTTTTCCGTCTACACCTCTCTTTTTCTTATAGATCCACTTGCATACAATGGGTTTAACCCTATCAGGTGGTTCTACAAGATCCCAGACTTGATTAGAGTACATAGACCCCATCCCTGATTTCATAGTAGCAACCCACTTATCAGCATCTTTATCATGTAGTGCTTGGTCGTAATTGACAGGTTCGGAATTTGGCTCCTCAGGGATCCTATCATATGATTCTCCCAAGGGCTTATAACGAACAGGCTGTCTTATTTCTCTCCCACTACGACTATGCACTACATCAGTTGCAACTACACCATTATGATCTTGTGGTTGAACCACATCATTATCAGGAACTTGAGTCTCCATGTTATCCACAGGGATATCAACGACTTCATCCTGTTGTGCAGTATGCTTAACATAACTACCACTACTTTGTGGTAGTATGACTTCGGGCACCTGTTCTTGCGGGACATCAAGTCTATTGACATTTATCCCACTGCTAAAATGAAATGGTAAAAATCAATTTCCGGGGTTTGCATCTAATCGTTTTGTTTTTCAGATGACTGAGTTTCCATTCCTTTGTTAAGTTCCTGTAAAACAAGTTTACTTCTAGGAACATGGTTCATCAAATAGTCCTCTTCAAGAAACTTGACATTTGTGCTAACAATTACCCTCTTTTCTTTCGAACAATAGAATATACCACCTTTCGTTCCTTTTGGATAACCCACAAACACATATACATCCATTCTTGCGTCCAATATATCTGTTTTCCCTTTAAACACATGTTCCAGATAACCCCAAACTCGAATGTGCCGCAGACTAGGCTTGCTCCCAGTCCACAATACTGTAGGGGTCAAAGGTACTGACTTTGAAAGAACTAAATTTAGAACGTAATTTGCTGTTTCTAAGGCATGTCCCCAAAAGGACGAAGGCAAACTGGAATATCTCATCATTGATCTAACCATTTCCATAAGAGTCATATTTCTTCTTTCAGCTACACCATTTTGTCGTGGAGTTCCAGGTGCAGATAATTGAGAGGTAATTCCACATTATGATAAATAACTAATGAATTTCGCCGAGAGGTACTCCCCACCATGGTCAGATCATAGTGTCTTGATATATTTATTATGTTATTTTTCAGTCTTTGTCTTAAATTCTTTATAACTTTTCAAAACATTCAAACTTTCGACGCAACAAATAAATATATCCATATTTTGAGTAATCATCTGTGAAAGTCACAAAATACTCAAACCCACCTCTTGCTTGGACATTCATTGGACCACACAAATCAGAATGAATTAACTCTAATTTATCACTTGCTCGATTTCTTTTTGAGGAAAAATTTCGTTTTGTCATTTTTCCTTCTAAACAAGATTCACAAGTTGGTAGTGCCTCCACTTTTAATGAACTTAAAGGTACATCCTTAACCTACCTTGAAATTCAGTTTAGATTTATATGACCCAAATGCAAGTGCAATAAATATGTTTCACTCAATTCAGAAGAACATTTTCTCTTATTTGGTAAATCAATATAATTCAGTTCTTTAGGTTGTAACGGTTTCAGAATAGAGTCAACAATAAAAAGACCATTAATCAATATAGCCGAACAGAGATAACGTTTATTATGACTAATAACATATTTATCAATATCGTGAAAATTAATGTCATAACCATCTCTCATAGCGCTAGAAACCGAAATTAAATTCCTTCTAATGGAAGGTAAATATAACGTGTCCTTTAAAGCTACTACTCTATCACTACCAAACGAAATACTAATATTTTCTAATGCTAAAGCTGGGGCTGCCGAACCATCTGCTTGATAAATATTGTTTTTTTCTCTACTTAGTTGTCGCGTTACCTGAAACCCATGCAAATAAGTGCAGACATGATTAGTGGCTCCCGAATCTACACACTATGACATGGTAGAAACAACCGCTAAAAGAGTTTCAACGACAAGTAGCTGTAAACTACCTAGTTTATTATTCAGCTTGGCCAGATAAGCCGGACATTGCTTCTTATGATGACTAGGCTTCTTGCAGTGATAACACTTGCCCTTAGACTTTTTCATACCAGCAGTTGCGCCACCAATAGAGGGGTTTTGAGCCTTTTTCGTCTTCTGCCCGCCTCTCGGCTTAGAAGAAGAACCTACCTCAAAATTCAATGCCACAGGAGGAGCTTGTTGCTTGATAATAGTCTCTGTCGACTGCAGCTCATTCAGCAATTTCGCAAGTGACAAATCCATTATGTTCATGTTATAATTCAGGCAAAATGCTGAAAACTGTCAGTAGAGTCTGCAGGATCATTTCAACTTGCATATCCTTATCAATGTTAGCTCCAAGGACCTCCAGTTCATTCAGAAGACTCATCATCTTCAGAACATGGTCCCTAACAGATGAACCTTCAACCATTTTAGTATTCAGAAGAGCTTTCGTGGCAGTCTGCTTAGCCGCACGATTCTGATCTCCAAACATTTCTTTGAGATTTTCCAGAATGTCATAAGCAGACTCCATAGACTGATGCTGATGTTGCAAACATTTGATATAGATGTCAGAATGTAACACCGCGCCATCTCATCATCCTTAACCCATTTTTGGTAAGCTTTCTATTCATCATCCGTAGCATTATCTCCAGGTTTTTCTGGACACACCACTTCGAGCACAAATTTGTACTCTTAAGCAATTAGGCAATATTCAAGTTTCATCTCCAATCAACATAATTCGGACCCTCAAGTTTGTTTTGAGTAAGAATAAGAGTAAGGGTATTGAAAGAAGTCATTGTTAATCTAAGAGACCATTAAATAAATAGATCAAAATCAGTCATGTATTATTGAATATTAAAATTCAAAACACACTACCTACATATAATCCATGCGCCTTGAATAACAAATTTCGATGGGAAAAGAGCTATTCTTGCGATATACATATGTAATGACAGATTATTCACTCCATGAATTTAAACAGGCCATACTCAGATGGAGAGTAAACTTTTAATTTAAGTCAAGTGAATATCAACATTCAATATACTAGTCCCATTGAACCAACATGCATACTCAGATGGAGAGTAAATACAAGTAATCAACAACTAGTATAACCTAGTGATTATCTATAATGAGTTTATCCGATATGGAAGAAGACCTACGTCAACGTGTAAAAATATTATATCACCATAATTTAACCTTGGAGTCCATTGGAAACGACCCCTACCACCACTGGATTAAAAATAACTCAATTTGTTTTTAAAAAATTTTCAGAAAATTAAAAAAAACGTCCAATTTACCATGCTTATTGACCCACGAAAGAATCTCGCCTTTTAATAGCTCAAAATAAAAAATGACACACACAGCTAATAATAATTATATCAAGATTAAGAGTATAAGTACATTAAATGGACTAGAAAAATTATTTTATTAAGTTAGTATAAAATACTTAACTCTACTTGATTCGTTCAATACATACAAAATGTACTAGTACAAGTAGTCGGAATTAAACCATTTCCATAATCAAGATAAATTATATTTAATCTTTTGCTACAAACATTCCGATGGTTTGTCCAATTCCATCATTAGATTGTGAACATAAACTTTATGACTTATAAGAACCGATGATTTAATCTTCCGTGTATAAGCTAAACTTTATACACAAAATCATCAACTATATAAGCAATGGACACACCGATAAATACATGATCTATTAAAATAAAACTATATTGAATTGAATAAATGAATAAACAATTGTTCCATAAAGAATATTATAACAATACGCATGGTTTAAAGTATATCCTAACAGAAAGTAGCAGAAATGAGGATGTTGAGATGGATGTGCGCGCACACTAGGATGGATAAGATTAGGAATGAGGATATTCGGGAGAGGGTGGGTGTGGCTCCCGTGGATGACAAGATGCGGGAAGCGAGGTTTAGGTGGTTCGGGCACGTGCGGAGGAGGAGCTTAGATGCTCCGGTTAGGAGGTGTGAGCGCTTGGCTCTGGCATGTACGAGAAGAGATAGAGGCCGGCCTAAGAAGTACCTGGGCGAGGTGATCAGGTAGGACATGATGCAACTTCTGATTTCCGAGAACATAGCCCTTGATAGGAAGGTGTGGAGGTCGAGCATTAGGGTTGTAGGTTGGGGGATAGTCGAGCGTTTCTCCTCGCTGCGTCGGCTTGTCTGATAGTGTTTTGTCTAAGACTGCTAGCGCTTTTGTTGTGTTTCACATTTTTTGCCGTCTTTCATATTTTGGCCTTCCCATTTATTTGTTGTATACGATGCTGATACTGTTTTCTGGTTTCTGTTGTTGTTACGAATCTATTGTCTCTGAGCCGAGGGTCTTCCGGAAATAACCTCTCTATCCCTTCAGGGTAGGGGTAAGGTCTACGTATATTCTATCCTCCTCAGATCCCACTAGGGGAATTCTACTAAGTTATTGTTATCGTATGTTATGCCATGGATGAAGTACTATAAGTTTGTGCTAATGAAATGAGAATGAGAGAAATTGTCCTGCAATAGTTCACAACTATAAACAAGTTGTGATACTGTTAAAAAGTACTTTTAATCTGTTAAATTGTAACAATTGCTTTTTATTATTTAAAACCGAAAATTTAACACATTTAGGAAAGTTGATTTGCTGTGGCCTACTATCAAATCAAAGTCTAATTTTTTGGTTATTTTTGTAAAAAATATTAAAAAACGCATTTACATATACAATTCGGTATTACTCGGTCTGGGTATTTACGATTGATCTGCGATCTCATCTTAACATGTACTCCGTAACATTCTGCAATTACGGAAAGAACCCATATGTGTGCAGTAATTATCCAAGATAGGAATAAATTTCCCCATGGCCAAAATGGGGAATTCATCTTCGCCGATCGCTCCACGTCAACAACCGACGGGCAAATCCACCGACTACCTGAAAACCAAAGGGATATCCTCTACCTTCACCCTCACCCTCACTCATCGAATCTCTCAATTCCTCTCTTTACGCATCTAAACAAAACCTCTATATTATTTATTCAGCTGCGACTTTCATTTCTAACGTCACATAGATTCAGAGGAAGACAATTCAATGAGAGGGCGTGATCGGATCAATCAAATCCAAATCCTGCCGGATGAAATAATTATAGAGATTTTCCGGCAGCTGGAATCGAAATCAAGCCGCGACGCATGTGCACTCGTCTGCAAACGTTGGCTCCGTCTCGAGCGCCTCAGTCGTCTCACTTTACGAATTGGTGCTTCCGGCTGCCCCGACGCCCTTGTGAGGCTGCTCGCTCGCCGCTTCGTCAATGTCCGCAATGTATTTATTGATGAGAGACTGTCCATTTCTTTCCCGGTTCAACTTGTAAGCCTTTGATTTCACTTTTATCACTTTTTGATATATTCATCGATTAGCTTTAAATGCAACATCTAGAATTGGTACTTCGAGTGTAGCTCCGAAATTGACGGATGTTAGATGTGTATTGCATTCCAATGGGGAACATTAGAACATTAGCTTAAGATCACTGATTGTACCCTTTTATGATTGGAAAGTGTTTTTTTTTTTTTTTTTTTTGTCTGACAGCATTTTTCATTTCCGTTACTACTGTATGTTCCTTTCTTAATATAACTGGTGAAAAGACTAGGTTTTTGGTATTTGAGGATAGAATTTTAAGATCTGGCTCATGAATTTAAAGTTTAAATGCAAGTTGGGAAGTGGAGATCCCAATTTCTAATGTTAATCCTCATTTTCTCACATGAAATAAAATTAGATTAGATTATTGTAGCTAAATTATGGTGCTCCATACCAAGCTTTTGATGCTTGGTTCTGTGCGGACGCAAATGTTCTTTTAATCAATGAGACAGGATATTATATGCTAGATGGGCACCATCAAGGTGCGGAGTCAACATATGGCTTGACGCTCAAAAGGATGAAGCATATAGGACAGAATCGGCTAGGATCAAAAGAACAATGAGCTGTACAATGAATTCCTTCTGCCCAGGCTTCTTTATACCGAAAAAAGAGTTATCTGAGGCAAGGATATTTCAGTTCAGGAACTGGTTCTGGCAAGTTCTCAATGCATCTATAATTTCTCTCTTCAGCGAGAAGTGACTGGGCGTGTTGTTTGTGCCAATTTTCATTTAGCTAATAAGCCTGTCAGGGGACCATAGTCTACTGCTTATATCTAATTTTCCTGCTGTTTGTCCTTGCCACTGGACTTGATGCATGCTTGAACTGAACAGAGTTACCGATTCAATGTCAAAAAGAGAGAAACATAGATGAGAAATCCCACTGCATGACAATGAAATAAGAGGTGATCAACAAAAATTACTTCAGTGATGCACGTAAATATTTGTTACCCAGCCTTCTATCTTATGCAGATTGTCTATATCAATTGACAAAATTATAGAATAATGCACTCCATAAGTTGACCTTGCACTATTTTAGCCCAGTTACAAGTTTGCAAATGTGTAGCCAAATATCAATAAGATCTTTTCTTTTCTCATTCCCTCTAATTATAACAACCTCATTTATTCCTACCTACCCCTATTGTAGCTCTCTCCTCATTTTTTACCCATAAATATTTAATTTAATTAATGAAAAAGAATCATATGCAAACAAAACTGAAAAGAAAAATTAGTTCCCCATTCAGTCAACACTCATTCGTGCCTTCTTCCATAACCAATACTTCTCTGTTTTTTTTATTTTATTTTGTATATCTTCAGGTTTATACATACCTATCACAACTGCAAAACGCAAAAACAGACGCGAGAAACCTAAAATCTCATCTCCTTTAATGCTAATCTTGTTAAATTTCGATTATGATTTTGTGAGAAATTTGGAGTGGGTATTGTTTGAACTTATTAGAAATAGTCTAAGTAGGTTGTATACAAAGTTTGAAGTTATTTGCTGGAGATTTGGACTAGTTTTATACAAGAATTGCAAGTGAAAATCGTACAAAAATTTCGTCAGCGATGCATATACACTTTTGTACAATGTTATACACTTTTATACAAAGAGGTACAATATGTATATAGTTGTATAAAATTGTATAAAGATGTATAATCACAGAGTGAAAATATTCTTGATACACTATATATATAGGTGTATAAGAAGAATGAGAAGAAGTAGAAGAAGAAAATGCGAGAAATTCACCAATTACCTGTAAATAATGTATCAACCATGGATATAATAGTGTATAAGTTGTGTTTATACACTATTATATACTATTTATACAATATTATACATTATTATACAAATGAATCCTATCAATGGAGCTTCACGTGTTCTTCTTCTTCCTTGGGCATCTTCTGAAATTTAACTCAAATATAGCCTAAAGCTACTCCAAATCACTTGAAATTTAAGTTTTGAACTCATCTTGACGATTCCAATCAATTGAGACAACACCCATTCCAAACAACTAACAAATCGGAAAATTTAATTTCTGAAATTTAACTCAAATATAGCCTAAATCTACTCCAAATCACTTGAAATTTAAGTTTTGAACTCATCTTGATGATTCCAATCAATTGAGACAACACCCATTCCAAACAACTAACAAATCGGAAAACTCAATTTCTGAAATCGAATCTTCGAACCACTTGTAATGGTGACTTTTATTTTTCAAATCCTTAGTTAACCATTGAAATCCGGAAAAGAATTGAAGGAGAATAACAATAGTAGAGAAATTTTGTGGTGCAAAGGCTGACATGGGAAGGAGAAGAAGAACGAAGAAAAAAGGGAAACGAAGAAATAAGGGGTGGGCTAACTGGTGAAAATTAATTTTCAGATTATGTACAACCTGGGCTATACTGAGTAAGGGCTTCAAACATGGGCCATTTTTTGATAGGTTGTTGGGCCAAGTGACAAGGGATGTAATTCTCCCATATCAATTTCCCCCCAAATCCAGCAATTGGAATGAAGATATTGCCCCAAGCAATTGAATATTGCAATGAAATGTGTTAAAGTGGAGCGAAATGAAATGGCCAATGACGGTTCATATAATCAATCCCGACTAGCTTGAGATTTGAGGCATCGTTGTTGTTGTTACAACTTTATTCTTTCATACAGATCTCCAAAAGGATGTAGAGCTATCAGTCCTGTTAATGAAAAGTTGTAGAAGATCAAATTTCTGGTTCAGAGAATATAAACGGCAGAAATAAAAAATCCACTGTGTAAACTTTTTGACTACCGCATATTCCATGAAATAAAAGACAATTAAAAATATTTAAATGAAACAAAAAAGAAAGAAGGTAAAATGATTGCCCGACACAGAAAATTTGACCTTCGAGTCATTTGTATTTTCTGTGTAACTCACCCGTATTTCAGTTATTTAATGGGACAAAAAGATAGTTTCTTGGCTTTACTGCTATAGGGGTAAAATTTAGTTATTTTCATGTGATAAAATAGTTTTGTGACTTTACTGGTAAGGTAAAGATCAGTGACCATACGTGAAATTAACTTCTAAGTGAAGATGTGTATTAACTTCTAATTGAATATGTGTATCTCATTGTCGTGTGTACTTGATATCATTGACAGGGAGTATTAAATTGCTAATGATTTTACTAGCAAGCAGAGTGCTGTGTATCTTGAGACAAGCTCCTAGTATCTCCTGTTCGGCACTTGTTAGGATATTTTCCAGATGGTGTTAGACATTGTGTTACTGCAGATATTTTTTGCGCTTCAGTACCTGGAAGCTACATTCATCTTGAATGCCGAACTTACTGTTTGTTTTGTACACCCGTTGCAGGGAAGAAGACGTGGCACTGATCATTCTGTGATTTCATCTCTCAGCATCCACTCCCTGGCTGAAACAAATGGCTCGGAAGACAACGAAACTGAATCTTACTGTTTATCAGATGCTGGGTTGACTGCTGTTGCTGCTGGCTTTACTAAGCTTGAAAACCTGAGCTTAGTATGGTGTTCTAATGTGACACATGTGGGGCTGAGGTCTATAGCTGAGAGGTGCATGTCCTTGAAGTCTTTGGATTTACAGGTAAATATCCGGTCTTTTAGAACTTTGGTTTCTTCACATGTTCAATCTGTTGATCTGTTTCAAGCTGTATTGGGATCGAATGATATGATGTGCGTGATGGATCAAAGGTCTTAGAAGCTTTCGTTTCCTGTTCCTTTTAAAGGGCTGTTATGTTGGAGATCAAGGTTTAGCAGCTGTTGGGGAGTTCTCCAGGCAACTTGAAGATTTGAATTTGCGATTCTGTGAAGGCCTAACTGATGCAGGCTTGATTAAATTGGTTGCTGGTTGTGGTAAAACATTGAAATCGATCAGTCTGGCTGCCTGTGCAAAAGTAACTGACACCTCCTTGGAAACTGTCGGATCTCATTGTAAATCTCTGGAGTCCTTGTCACTAGACTCAGAGTTTATCCATGACAAAGGTGTACTTGCTGTTGCCCAAGGATGCCGTCAGTTGAGGTTTCTGAAGCTACAATGCATCAATGTTACAGATGATGCTCTGCAAGGTGTTGGCACTTGCTGCTTGTCGTTGGAGTTGTTGGCTCTTTACAGTTTCCAAATATTTACGGACAGGTTAGTTGTTTATTCTATATTATCTTTTCTATTTGGATTTATTTATTTTTACTTATCAGCAACTGAAATATCTAAAAGTTTACAAGCTAGAGTATTCTCCTGATCATAATTTCTATTTTCATGTAAGCTTTTGTACTGTATATCTGCATTCGAGGCCCTAAAAAATAATTTCTTTTTAACTGTTGGCTTTTCTGTTGGTCAGATGTATGCAATCTAAATATCTAATTACATTTGAAACTCTGTAACTTGGATGAAATTATGTGCGCGCATGTCTATCTTTTTTGTGGCAATACTTGCTAGGGGAGATTTGACAGAGTATGTGTTAGAGGGATGAGAGGTTTTCACAATCTGACCTATATCTTTCTGTGTATTCCTTCAGGAGTCTGTGTGCTATTGGTAAAGGCTGCAAACAGTTAAAGTCTCTTACCTTGAATGATTGTACTTTCTTAAGTGACAAAGGCTTGGAGGCGGTTGCAGTTGGTTGCTCCAGGCTCACGCATCTTGAAGTTAATGGCTGCCACAATATAGGAACATATGGACTGGAGTCTATTGCAAGATCTTGCACGTACACTTTTTGCCTAGTGCTTTATTTTGAATTTCTTTAAACCTTAGTGTTGAATGTTAGCTATTTAGAGGGGGGAAAAGACCTAATGTTGAGTGTTTGTTTGCCTTATCTTTGTTCACTGAATTCAAGATAGATTCTTGTAACCTTTGTGTTTCTCTAAGGTCATGTTTGCAGTGCATTGCTGAATAAGTGTGTTTATCATGAAAAACACTTCTTTGAGTATTTGGTAAATGTTTAGAAAGTACACTTAGAAGTTTTGAAAAAATAAGCACTTTAGATGGAGCTAAAAATGGTGCTTATGGACCTACTTTTGCACCTAAAATGTAGGCGCTATTTTAATAGAAAATTTGCTGTAATATCAAATAGAAATGCAATATTCTTGCTTGAGTTTAATTCTGTAAATTAAACGAAAAAGTGCTTCATAGAACAGTTATAGCAGATCAATTATGGAGTGCTTAAATAAGATTTTGAGTGTCATTTTCTTTAACAGTATTTAGGAAATTATTTTCTACATAAGTTGTTATCCCAGATTAGACCAAATTGATTTCAGTCATTCCAAAATGCTATAATCATATTATTCTATCTCCATCCGAATAGTTACCTCATAGGGTGTATATTCTTCCGAACTTCAAGGGATGGTTTCATCCATGTTTACAGCTAGGTTCTGAATCTCTTGACTTGGAGAATTGATGCTGAAAGAAAATTCATTCCACCCCCTTCAAACTGGCTTACAGTATGTGGGCAGTAAAAAAATTTTGTTCATACATGGTTGGCAGATTTTTCACTGTCTTTAATGAGCTTCTGTCTTTTTTTCATTGTAGAATGTCTTTCTTTTCCATCACTTTTTTCTTTAATATGAAGATACAAAATTAATCTATTATGACTAGAATAGTGTTGAATTGTGGTTGATTGGTTCTGCAGATTGACCGATCACTGCTGTTTGCATTGTGCTTGACGCATCTTATTATTAAACCTTATGAAATTCATGAGTCTCATTCATTACTTGACCTATAGTTTCTACCTCTTAAAATTCTGGCATGGCCCTATTTTGAGTTCTTTTTTCTTATTTTTTATAAGTGAGAAGGTCCTAATTTGAGTTTTGGCTTTGCAACTAGGCATCTCTCTGAGTTGGCCTTGCTGTACTGTCAAAGAATTGGTAATTTCGCATTGTCCGAGATCGGAAGAGGGTGCAAGTTCTTGCAAGCTTTGCATTTGGTAGATTGTGCGAGTATTGGGGATGAAGCCATATGTTCTATAGCTAGAGGATGCTGTAACCTCAAAAGGCTCCACATCCGTCGATGCTATGAGGTACTTTAATCATCTCGCTTCCTTCATTATTTCCTCTTAGATAGGGTTTCTCTTCTTGCTCTTTAGTCTTGTTTAAATCACAAGATACCTTTACATATGTATTGTTGCATATTGCTGGAGGCATATATTCTTTTAATCAGTAAACATTAAAAGATTTCATTGATAATCAGCACCAAGATGGTGCTGCACATGTACACTGGGGACCCAGAAACAAGATCAGAATCTTCTTAATTAATTACATCAGCAGACGAAACAAGAGCATTCCTCCAGGCCTAAAGGGTAATATGAATTGAACATATCAGATTCAGATTTTTGTTAGTTGACATGTTTCTGCTGCGCCTGTAGATTTGTTGACTGGTTTAAACTGGTCCTTAATGTTTTGTTCTCCCTTTCGTTTTAGTTGGCGAAGATAGACAACTGTTACTCACTAATATTCTTGCAAGTATCTCAATGCTTTTGAAGCATTGGGCTTACTGCTTAATGAATGTAAAATAGTATCCAATTCTGAGTTTGGAGTTGAATCTGGAAGCTATCCTTTTCTTCTGTTCCCTTGGTATTGTTTTCAAATATTTTAATGCTTGTAATTGATCCATTAGCTGGTGAATCTTTTAGACAGGCTTTTTAATTATATTTTTTTGGAGAACCACTTTAGCTGTGGAATGAGGTTTCCTGTAGAGGCATGTGCACTATTAGTATCCGATGTGGAAAGCGGTTTTTCTTTTCAGCAGCTGTTTATCGTCCCTATAAAGATAGTGAAATCTGGCTTATGCAGTATCCTTTGCACTTGATGCCCAGAACTCAATTATTTTGTTTGATAATACTGGTCTTTTCATCTGATTTGATAGGTTGGAAATAAGGGAATTATAGCTGTTGGTGAGAACTGTAAATTTCTTACAGACCTTAGCCTTCGGTTCTGTGATAGGTATGTCAGTTTTTCTTTCTCAACTAACGTTGCCTTAGTTTTAATTTGTTTCTCAATCAAGTGTTCTGCTGATAAAATTGGGGACAATCTCTCCATTGCTTGCATTACTTTCTTCTTCTATTGTGATATAAATCTGTGCTTGAATGCTCTTTGAAATGAGCACTTATCCTTTTGGACATGGTAATGTTTGTATTGATGACTCTGGTGCTGCAAGAGGTTGCTTGTCCATTGAAGATGAAGTTTGTCTAGGCACAATTTTCATCTTCTTTTAATGCTTCCTGGCCCTGGGTCCCTTGGAAATGTTCCACATTGCGAGGTTCAACAAATAACTATATTTATATTTAGTTGGTCCTTGCCTTCACAACTTCTTTTTCATTAATGTTCACCAGTTATATTCTTCTACAGCAGAGAGTTTAAACTGCTTTTCGATCAAAGGCTCGCCACTTAACTACCTGATTACTGATGTTTTGGCTCAAATAAGTCATTAACCTCTATTTGATTACCAGAGTTGGGGATGAAGCACTTGTGGCTATTGCTGAAGGTTGCTCTCTGCATCATTTGAATGTAAGTGGCTGCCACCAAATTGGGGATGCTGGAATAATAGCCATAGCAAGAGGATGCCCTGAACTTAGTTACTTGGATGTGAGTGTTCTCCAGGTATGTCCACTATACTTCTATAGAGTGGGATAAACAATGGATGTGATGCAAAGATCATATGTGTATGTTTAACATGTCTAGGTTCATTTGTCAACTATATAAATTGATTCAAGGTGATTAGGTAACAAAAATTATATTAAAACTGCTTAATTGGTATAGCCTAAGTTGGTTGCTTACTTACGAGTACCACCAGTTGATAAGTGGATTAGGAATCTGTATTGATTAGCTCCCACACTGAACACACGCACATATTGCTTCCTTAAATAAGATGTTTGAAGGAGCAAAAAATTGTTGTTAATCTTCACTCAGCACAGGACACTAACTTACCAAATTTCGACAGGATTTGGGGGATATGGCCATGGTGGAGCTAGGTGAAGGATGTCCTTTGTTGAGGGATATTGTGCTGTCCCACTGTCGTCGAATAACAGATGTAGGTTTAAGTCATCTTGTGAACAAGTGTACCTTGCTGGAAACTTGTCACATGGTCTATTGCCCCGGAATTACTGCTGCTGGAGTAGCCACGGTGATCACAAGCTGCTCAAATATGAAGAAAGTTCTTGTTGAGAAATGGAAAGTGAGCCCAAGGACCAAAAGGAGAGCAGGATCCATTATCTCCTATCTCTGTGTTGATCTGTAGATCTCTTTACACTTGTTACTACTCTACTTCTTGCAGCCCCAATCAACAGCAGCAGGGTTAAAGCAGACTATCCCTGTGAATAGCCAGTTTAAGGTACAAATTGCCCTGACACACAGAAGGCGCCTAATGTCGTGACAATTTGTCTTTTACTTTCTCATGTATGTTTTTTCAGTGTTTTCTTTTTCCAAATCTCACAGGAATGTGTTTGTTGATTGACTTATTGTAGAATCCGTCTCTTGTTATTTTATTTGCTTATTCTATTCAAGGTATGGGGTGGGTGTGCGGCTTGTTCCCTTCAGATGTGTAGGATAAAATGGTCAAGGCAGCCATGCTTGTGCTATGCTTTTTCAAGGGTATGCTGCTGCCAAAGCCCATTTTTGTCTTATGGGTCTTTCTGGCATTCGCATAGATGAAGTGCAGAGGTGCAGTACTGAATGCATAATGTAGATGTTGCTTTGTAGTGGAAGAAGCTGATATGGGAGCACATTCTGAAACAACTCTTCCATGTTTCGACGGTAGATTTCTGTTCTGTTCTGTTCGAAGCAGCTCTAGAATTGAATTTGGCAGAGATTGGACCACGACGTGCAATTCTTTTATGATCGTGTGTATTCATGTAAGAGTCACAAGGTATGCAATTCTTTTAGAGGAAAAGGTTACAAAAAAAAAATGCAGTTAGAACCATAGATGTTACATGAATCTCTACCAAATGAACAACTTGAAAGGAGTATGGTTTTCTGGAAAAAGTTCCTTTTTACATGTAATTTGTCAAAGGATTTTATATCATGTATTTGCTAGCGTAAAGAATTTTTAAACTAACAATTTGTGCCAACACGTGGTACGTCTGTTTCCATCTTTCCAGATGACTGTTTTTTCTTTTTTTGGTGTAATTAGCCCTGAAGTGATTGAATTATGAAGTATAAAGTATTTAATAGTCAAGAGTACATAAATTAAATCATTGGGAATTTGAATAACTTTCTCTTATTTTCACTTGCACACTTAAACATAATCACATTTCACATTGCATAGCATACCTTAGTGTTGGAAATAGTCTTAGGATGAAAATCCTCAATAGAGTCGTGCCGAAGCTTTGGAAGGCAAATGAAGAACTTACGAAGTGAGATAGAGTCCATTGAAATTTAAAAAACCAAAATTTCACTTGTACAAAAGCATGACGTACTCCATGAATAATTTGGGTGGGCATGTCAAGTTTCTTGGCCAAGAATAAGCAAACACCAACTAGTATAAGTTTTTCTTGTTTCTGCTATTAACCTTTGTAGAATATAAACTTAAACAAGAGGCCCACTTGAACCGATTTATTTAACGATAATCACTTGTGCAACAAGCCGAATATAATAACAAATAACTGGCTATTTCTTGGAATTTTTTAATTGAAGCGTGACATTTTATGACATCGCTACATGCGTTTACCTAACATTTTCGTATCTTTTCGGCCAAAAAGAAAAACAATAAAGACTCTCCGTATTGCGCCTAACCATAAATAGTCGATTAATTAGTCAATGTTAATACCATTTTTAATACTAGTCTCTCCCCATGTATGCCCAGTCATATAATACACGGTTTTATAAAACAATATCAACATATTAGAATGAAGCTTTTATTAAATAATTATACATAAAAGAATAATGTATAAACGATTAATGTGATTCACTGTATTGTGACTTGTTTGTCGAGTCTATTACTCAAATGGTCACTCAACTATTTCAAATTATCTCCTAAAGTCACTTTTCTTTCGTTTCGTTTGTAACAACAAAGTCACTGAACTATGCCCTATTGCACTCAGAAGCTCACTCAACTAGGTTTTTTAAATTTTGGATTGCCAAATACCTATATTACCCTCTAAATTATAAATATTTGTCTTCTTTTTATTTTAATTTTAACTTTTTAATTATCTGAACCTATTAAATCCAAGGAGAAAGATCTTTAATATTGTAATATTGTTTTCTACTTTCGTCACCGTTATAATTTGTTTTACATAACCATCAACCGTAATCTTGATGCAAGAAGAATATCATGCTCGTCTTTATTTATAAATAATGTTTGTGATGTTTACATTAAACCTATGGTATGAATCCTATATATGAACATTTACCAAGTTATTAGATCATATTTATAAGAAAAGCATGTCTATTGTGAAAAAAATCTTAAAAGCTACCTGCACAAACTTTAAATGTTTGTTCCAAGCAAAAATCAATCTTTGCCAACAGCCGATTAACTTAAGCGAAATAGTAACTTCATTACCGAGTAAAACCTCCCAATACCATCTGGTGACAAGATAATTATATGCATATGATGTTAGTACGTACACTATCGTCCAACTTTTGAATAATTAAATGTCTACTACAATAATCATCATAGTACAAATAATAACGATATTAGAACAACAACAACAACAACAAAAAAAATTCTAGAAATTAACATCACAACGATACCTCTACTTCATAACCTTCAGATTTTGCTTGTTCTGTAGCCCAGACCAAATTCAACCGATCAGTAAAATAGTTTTGTAAAGGACCAAAGTGCATTATAAACATAAAATGCAAGCAAATCATCAAATCACTTCATTTTGACTAAAATTAGCATCATTTTTTATTTATTTGATTCCCCTCCCCTTTGATCCTTCTTTGTTGGAAGTATTGCTCTTTTGGTGACTCAAACCCACGACCCTGGGGTGTAGGTGGGAGGTGCTGACCATCTAAGCAACCCCTCTTGTCAAATTAGCATCATTGAGTAACCAAACACAAACTGTTATGAACTTATTAGAAGAGAACATGCTAAGAAATCAAGACGAAAAGTAAAAAGATAAAAGGAAAATTATCAGTATCATGAACATTGAATTGAAGATACATAGATAGGCGTAGGACACGATTGATGAATACACAGGGACAAAGAAATCATGTACTGTTTTCGATGAGGTTCACTGGAGTTTAAGTGTTTGGTATGGTGATTGTTTATGGAATAAGCCAAGGATTTGGTGGAGCTTTTTCCCGCATAAATACAGAGTACTGTATGAAGAATATGAAAAATGCACCCATCTGAATCTTAGTTTTATTCAAGTATAACTTCAATTATATTTTTACTCGGTAAATTAAGATGCATTAATAAACATGAGAAGAGTTATATGAAGAGATAGGTGTTGTTACTGTTAAACGAAGGCAAATGGCACTTACACAGTTGGAATACAATTAAACACAGTATTGACATCATAAAATATGAATATGTTTCTGATTCACTTGATTCCTCATCCAAATAACTGAACCATGAACCAACAGATACATCCTCATTAGCATACTTGTGCAGAACGTGCATAAGATGATTAGATCTCAAGATTAGCAAACAGCATTCACACAAAAAAGAAACACAATCCATGTGTATTGGAGAAATCAAATTTTTACTACTTCGCACAGATATGTAAATGTCTAAGCTAAGTCATATGGGCAATATATTTTTAAAGAGAAGGAAACTAAACGGTGCAACTCTTCGGGAGCAAACAACGGTTGTCGCTTACTCTATTGTGGATATGTGGTCTCAGAATTCTAACTTTCATGCATATGAAGTAGATTGGAACATTATAATAAAGACCGTATACATACTAACAACATAAACCGGGCACCTAAATGACACGTGCTAATTTCAGATCTTGCTCTTTCACATTAAAATAACTCTACTTATGTTTCGAGTCTTGTATATTCATAGCAATATGATTGATTTTTAAAGGAATGAAACTAAAAGGTGCAACTCTTCGAGAGCGACCAACAACTGACGTGAATTCTTTCACTATCGGTATGATTCCATTGCGGTAGGTTTTTTTGGACAAGCATGATATTTTGGTTATTTAGAAGGATATTTAGGTAATTTAACTTTTAGCTCTTGAGGTTCCCACTTTTATAATAATATAAATATAGATAGATATGGAGTTCAACAAATTGACAAGCAATTAGACTCTCCTTATCACTAACCATAACTCAGATTTGGTCAAAAAGTACTGAAGAGCAAAATGGTGAAATTCTTTTAAGAAGCTCAGCAGAAAACACTGTAAGAAAAATGGAAATTTGTGGACATGCAAATCACCTTAAAACTTACTAATCTGGATTTGTTTAAGGAAAGGATGATCATTATTTTCTCTGCAATTAGAATGTAATAACCTCAAGCATGCATTAAGCACTAATTAGAATAAGCATGTTTAAGAGTTCCAAGATGTCGGCAATTATGCTATACAAGAGATCAGAATGATTTGAGTGTAAGGTTGAACCAGACATCGAGAGATTTGCGTCTGCTTTGTGGGAGGGCTCGAGGAGATATACATTGATGAACAGTCATGTGACTATAGAGAAAAATAACATTTTTAAGTACTACTTACACAGTAATAATACTGAATAATTAATTCATATATGAAAATATATTGTTCACGTAGAGTATGATGTGTTTTCCTGTGGGGACAGTAACAGAGGCTGCCGGGGCAGCGTAGAGTTCCAACATTATATTTCAAACAACAATAATAGATAGTAGTACTTACTCCCTCCGATCCAAAATAAGTGATTTTTTGGCCTTTTTCTTGTGGTCCAAAATAAGTGATTTTTTCAGATTTCAAGAATGAATTAATTGTTTTTTTCCTACATTGTCCTTGGAGTAAATAGTGTTGGAATATGTGTTGAGAGTGTTTATGTGAAATAGTAAAGGTTAATATGGTCAATTCCATTGCTAATTAATGCTAAAAGGTGGATTTCTTAATATGTGTGAAAACATCCAAAAAAATCACTTATTTTGGACCGGAGGAAGTACTTGAAAGGTCCTAACATGTCTTTGCTTGCTTTCCGATTATTCTTCCACGTTTCTAACAATCATAGCTATTGTTATAAGTAAAGAATATTGGCTCTAATTTTAATAATCTGTAAAGTGCATAGTTCAAACTTCAAAGTTCATACCCTATAGAGTATGTACAGTATATGAAAGCAACTTCCTAGCGAAATGAGGAGAAGCTAGGATTTGAATTTGATTGGCTCAAAATTTTAGTTCTTATAAGTTGTTAAATTCTATATTAATAAATTATACTTGTTCTATAATTTTCTTTACAATGAATATAGATTTTGGATCAAAGTTCGATCGAATATCGGAGCGAGCGAGGAGAAGTGTAAGAGATTGGGCAGCCAGGGGATCAGTTGTATTTTGGAGACTAATAGCTTGTTTGATCAAGCTTTTAAAATCAAATTATTTTGAAATGTGCTTTTCTTAAAAGTGCTTTTCAAAAAAATACTTTTGGTATGAAACAGTTTGTGTTTAGCTAATTAATTTAAAAAAGAGCAGTAATTAGTGTGTGTCCAAGCTTTTAAAAAGTACTTTTGAGTGTATTTTTCTCACAAATGCTTTTCGATAAAATGCTTCTGAGGAAAAACTAGTACTTTTTTCTGCTTCTACTTAGAAGTACTTTTTTTTCCTTCTAAAAGTTTAGCCAAACACCTTTATTTTAGAAAAAAAAATAAAAAAATTTCACCAAACAGGCTATAAGATTGAAAGCGAACCGTGAACTAATCTTATTTGCCCATGCCAATGCAAAGAGTGGTGGGCACCACACATTTGCACAAAATTTGCGCGCATGGAACAGTTGTACTCATAAAATGCTGATGCTTGCTCCTTATACTAGTGCTCAAATATCAAATTGACCCAATAGCTATATTTTTATAATATTATGTCAAATATATGTTGTGCATACGTATTATACATTGAGATGTGGATATTTGCGCGTGCAAGCATGTAACTACATCTGGCGGCTAAAAGTCACATCGTAACCCCCTCTCTAAACTTATGTAATTGTCTCCCTATCCATTAAACATATGGCCCCA